GTGTGTGTGTGTGTGTGTGTGTGTGTGTGTGTGTGTGTGTGTTGCTCTAACTACCTAGCTTTGACTTCTGCCTGGGAGACAACGCGAACCCCCATGCAGGTTTTGGGGTTTTAAGCCGGGGGCCTGACTCTGAGGAGTTTCCTTTAACCCTTAGAAGGGCTTATTACCCAGAGTCAAAACTCTTTCCCTAGAGTCCAGGTCCACTGTTGTCCCTGTCTCTGTGTGTCCCTGGGGGTGCGCTTGTCTGTGGCCCCAGCAGCACTGGATCTGAAGTAGCTTCTTAGAAAACTCATTTGAGGGAAATCTAGCTTCCAGTGGCCACAAACTCGCCAGGAGAGCCGGCACCTCCAAGCTTGGACCCAGCTAGGGGAGCGGAGGCTGCGGGTGGTGGCCGACTGCAACATCAGAGCTTCAGGCAGGCAAGGTGGAGCGTTAGGGAACCTTTGGGGATTTGACACCTGCAATGGGACTTCTTTGAAAATAATTTTAAAAGAAAAGCACAGAGAATTTTTTTGTCTACCCAAAGCTCCGGACACCCAAAAAACATATGAGAAATACTGAGCTTTTCCGTGCTGGCACGATCCTAGTGAGGAAAGGGAAAGGCCACCTGGGAAAATGCAGAAGGCTGGGGAATGTGAGGCCACTTGGGCTTTGCCGGTGCTCGCTGCACACCCGGAGAACTCACGGTCCTGAACTAGCGTAAGGTGGAACTCAGGCAAAGAAGTTTCAAAGGGAAGAGACCCGGATTTCGGGAGATGGCGACAGTCTGTGTTCCACCTCCCTCCCCCAACGCCCCCGACTGGCCAGGCTACCACCTCTGAGCGATGGAGACGCTTAGGTGTGTTCTGATGGCCACTTGTTAACGTTTGTCCCCAAACTTACAAACTTACAAGCCCACCCTCCACGGGCCTCCAGGAGGGACAGATCCCTGTGCAGCGCGCCCGCCGGGGCGTGCCCAGTGCCCAGCGCAGCTTCCAGGCCGCCGAACAAGGGCTGCTGCTGCCCCCTGGCGTCCGCCCTGCGCCCCGCCGTGTCCCCGAAGGCCTGCCCAGCGTTCCACGCCGCCAGGCTGCCCGCCTGGGGCAAGAGAAGCGGCCCTAATGCCCAGACCAGGCGCCTCCGTGCCAGGACCTCCACGGCCTCTTCCTCCTCCAGTGACACAGGCCGCGCGCGCGCGCGGATGCGTGAGGAGGGAGGACACACTTAGGGACCAGCCAGGGACCGAGCACAGAAAGGAAGTGAAGGGCTTCGGTCACATGTGGAGAGTAACGGGCTCCGTGGACTGGGTGGTGAGATGTCCCGGAGGAAGTAAGTCCCTAAGGGACCCACGGAAGGCACGGGCCAGCTGCTCCGGCTGGGGACAGCAGTGGGCCGCGCGCCAGGCGGGATCGAGACCCTTAAAGCTCCGCGAGAGCCCCCATCGTGCGCAAGCCGAGCGGGTTCAGCGCCTGGAGGGGAAGCTCCGGCCTTTCCCGGGAGCTGGAGGGTGGACGAGGGCTCGGGCGATCGGGGTGGCCTGCCCGTACCCCGCCCCGGATGCTTTCAACTTTCTTTGCAGTCTAGGGTTCTTTGAGGCCTTGGTTAGAAAACTAACTCCTCTTGAGCGGCTGCGCACACTCAGAACGCGGCGCGCTGCGTAATCAAGCCGCAGCCCAGCCTCAGAGAAAAGACACTAAATAAAACAACTCTACCAAGGAGAGGAGCACAGGCCGGTCTATTTAAATGACTCGGTGCCACTTCGCCTCGGCTGCCAGCCAGGCCGGGATAGGCGCTCAGAGCCTCTCCCACCCGGCCATCAGCCCTCCGGCCCTCTTGCGGCCGGATCCCACCCTGTGCTCCCGGGACGTGGAGGCTTGGCTTGCTGGGGACCGTTCCGGGACGCCAGCCCTGGTCCCTAGAGCCTCGCTATGGCAGCTATGAGTCCAGGGCTCGCAGGGCGTCTCCCTCCCGCTGGCCTCCTGGCCTCGGGCTTTTCCCGGCCCAGCTCGCTGTTGCCAAGTCCGACCGGCCTTTCGATTCCTGTTTCAGGGTCTCCGGGATCTTGGCCGCCGGTGGCGCCGCTGCGCCCCACAAACCCACCCAGAGCGAGTGCAGCAGGACCACCCCGCGCGTGGCAGCCGGGCGTGGGGTCTGCACCCG